GAGGCCACTCCAGGGCACCCTCTACCTTGTTTGCTAAATTCTAGTTCTAAAACTCATGCCATTCACCCTTGTCATGAGTGAGCTCATTAGGTCTAGGGCCTTGATTGTTAAATATTCTGTGACATCAGCTTCTTTCTGTCAGAGACATGAAGCTTGGAGAGTCCCTAACTTGCTCAAGAGTACCACACTGCTCTGAAGCCTTAAAGGCCAAAGCTAGGTCACAAGATCATTTAAAGCTGCAAGAAACAAGCACATCTTGGAGAGCTGTTTCTTCCATCCGGTTCAGAATTTTACTTTCCTATTATCTTATTCTAAAAGCATCTCAAGCTCATTCAAACAATGAAGTAATGTAATGGACTCCAAGATATATTTCACTTAGAATCGTCTCCTGACACATTTCCCCTCGGAACCATCTGAGTGTAAGATGCAGACACTCTTGACACAGCACTCTTAAATAGAATTGGCACACATCTCCCAGGAACAAAGAAATTAAGATTGAGGGGCTGGAGAGACAGCATGGCAGTTAAGAGCCCTTGCTGGTCTTGCATATGGTACAGGTTTAATTTAGGCAGCCACATGGTGACTCACAACCTCTGTAACTCGAGATCCAGTAGCTGTGATGTTCTCTTCTGGCCTCTACAAGCACTGCACACATGTGGTATACATCCAGGCAAACAATCATATATATATATATAATTAAATAAAAGCTTTTAAAAAAGAAAATGAATATTGATTCAATAATAATGGCTGAACAGTATTAATCAATGTATTTACTGAATAGTATTAATCAATAAGCCAGGGGTGTCACACTCAGTGAATGGGAGTCCCTTGTGTCAATCCCAGTTGCAATAACAACAAAAAACCCTCTAGGGTATTATATTGTATGTAAACTTCCCAAAGAGCTAGCAAAATAGCTTAGTGGTCAGTTAAGAGCACTGACTACTCTTCCTAAAGACCAGAGTTCATTCCCAACACCCACTTTGGGTGGATCCAATGGCCTCTTCTGGCCTCTCTGGGCACTGCACTCACATGTAAAACCTTCCCCACCCCCACTATTAAAAAATTTATTGGGGCTGGGTTTTGGGGGATTTATCCTCCCCCTCCTGTACATTCAGGTCACACACTGACTGGAACACTCCACAGCAGCTTGCTACATAATCCTGGTGAGGAGCACACACTTTTTCTCCCAGAATTTTTGAAGCACAGTCATTAAGTAAAGGTAGTGGGCAGCAAGCCTCCTCATCATAATACAGTGCTTACTGGTAAATAGTAAGACATCTTTCTAAACTAAAAGGCTGGGTGAATGGTCTGATTCCTAACCTTCCATCTCACGGTTTTAATATGCTTTGATGATTTGGGCCAGCTTCATTAAATTTTACTGAGGGTAGCAAAATGGCAATTTTTAAAAAGTCTTAATTTTATTTTTGGCATTGACTAGCTGGTATTTTTATTTATAAAGAAGAGATTTGGGGCCACCGAGATGGCTCAGCAGGCAATGGCACTTTGCCCAGTGTAATAACCTGATATCAAGCACTGGACTCCACAGGGCAGAGGGAAAGAACTGATGTCCACAAGTTGTCTCCTGACTTCTACACCTGCTGTGGCATGCATGTGCCCATTCTCACAAATAAATTGAAGTCTTCAAAAGGAAAAGTTTGCATCCTTTCACCGTCTCATCTCCTTTTTCCTCATTACGATGGAATTATGGATCTGATCAGTCGGCTCAACTGGCTGAAATGCTTGTCTGATAATTTGAATTTGATTCCTAGAATCCATAGTGGAAAGGGACATCCAACTCACATAAGTTCTCCTGACTCCCACATGTGACACACACATGCACACACACACACACACACACACACACACGAGAGTCTTAAAATGGACTGATTTTTAAAAGTATTAAATGAATTATAAGTCATTATTTTATCATCCATCTTAAAAAGATATTTTATTTTATGTGTATATGTATGTGCCAGCATTAGTTTATGCACACCATTTGTATGTAGGAGTCTACAGAGGCCAGAATTAGAGGCATTATGAGCTGTCATGCTGGTGCTGGGAACTGTATCTAGTTCCTCAGTAAGAACAGTAAATGCTCTTAATTATTGAGTAATCTCTCTGGGCCCATTTATTCTTTTTCTTAATGTTTAAATTGACTTAAATTTGACCAGCAGGAACCAGGCCCCTTGTCCTAGAGGGGTACATGGCTAGACAGAAAGAAATTGGCATTCTGTTGTAGGGAGAGGGATAGGAATATGGCAGCCAGTCAGAAGTGTCACACTTTACTTTCTCCAGAGCCTCAGTTTCCTGGGTCTTAGGTAGGATCATAGCATTGAGGATTTTCAGACTCAATTAATCAGTTGGTCGTGGATTAATATGGACAGCATGTAATCATCCTTCCCTGTCCTTTCCTCTCCATTCCTATCACATTGCCTTTATTTACGAGCACTGTATCTTTTGATGCATTGCAAATTTTGTACCCCCCCCCCCGATAAAAAGTGCTAAGACCCTATCAAAAATTTGGCAGGGACACTTGAGGCAAAGGGGAATGATGAGCCATCCTGCCTCTACCTTAGGCTTGAAAGCCATTTTATAATAAAAAACAAACTAGGTTAATTTCAGTTTGTGATTAAATCTCTGTTTTTCAAGTATTAGGCTATGCCCCACCTGTAACCTTAACTACAAATGATTCTATACTCCATGTTCCAGGAAATGTCAACCATGCTTTTGCTTCAAAAGTTTTTAATACCACCTGTTGCTATGCCCACCTTGTGTAGGCATAAGGTTATTGTGCACCATGTAAAGATTATCCTTGTTTTATTCAAATGCTGATCTCTGTGCTCCCATATCTGGTTGCAATCCTTATTCTGAGACTCTTCTGTCCCAGTGTTCTGTAAACAATGTCCCCAGTGTAGGGGATTTTGACTGGGAGATAGCCAGATTAGTTTAGAGGATTAAAACAGATTAATACTGCTCAGTTGTTGTGCCTTAAAGCTGCTAAATAAATCTAACAGCCCTGTCTCCATTATTTAGGAGCTATATAGGTTAAGAGAAAAACTTCAACACTTATAAATTCTCATTAACAACCTTATTATGGGTACCTGTTGTTATGACTTGACCACTTTGTCATGAGTACCTTTAGAACAGACAGCCATGTTAGGCCTTAAGTTTCAGTTTCCCTAAGAAGCAGGCAAGGCTCCTTGGGAGAGTCAAAGACATTAGTCAATATGGGTCCTGACTTTTGGCCAAGAGGGAGAATGAACCAGAACTGAGTCAATTCCTGGGACATTTGGCCAAGAGAGACAACAAACCCTGAATTGGGTTAGTTCCTGAAATTTCTCTAAGGCCTGACCAAAAATAGTAAAACTAATATAGCAACCAATCAGAAATTGTACCAATGTAACTGCCACACACCTAGCTAATCATGTTAGAGATTACTTAACCCTTTAAGAAAATTCCCCTAGCCCTGCATAAAATGAGCTCCTCTCCTGATCACCATTTTGATGAATGGTTGACCACATATGCTGGTTGTTTTTGCAGAATAAATGTTCTTTGCCTTTACATACTATTTGAATGTGGAGTCTTCCTTCAGTGATTCTCAGTCCCTCACACTTGCAACCATGTTGTGGAGGTTGTGGCTCCTATAGACTCATGTGATTGAATACGTAGTCCATAGAGAATGGAACTATTAGGAGGTGTGGCCTTGTTGGAGTAGGTGTGGCTTTTTTGGAGGAGGTGTCACTGGGGTGGTATGGGTTCTGAGGTTTCAGAAGCTCAAGCCATCTTACTTCCTGCTGCCCTTTAATCAGGATGCAGAACTCTCAGCTCTTCCTCTAGTACCATACCTGTCTGCATGATGTGATGCTTCCCATATAATGGACTAAATCTCTGAAAATGTCCTAATTAAATGTTTTCTTTTCTTTTTTGTTTTTAAGATGGGGTTTCTCTGCGTAACAAGCTCTGGCTGTCCTGGACTCTCTTTGTAGACCAGGCTGGCCTCAAACTCACAGGTATCTGCCTGTTTCTGCCTCCCAAGTGCTGGGATTAAAGGCATGAGCCACCACAGCAGGCTAAATGGTTTCTTTTTTAAGAGTCATCCATGGTGTCTCTTCACAGCAACAGAAACACTAAGACACATATCTTTGTTTCACAAGAGGTTGAGATCAACTAGTTACATTCTGCTTCTATTTGTCTGCCATACCTCCACACCTCAAATTTGGAAACCCCTTATCCTTGAGCTATAAAAATCTTTTCCACCTCAAAGGCTAACCTCTTGAACTCCATCTTAGAAAGAGGCAGCCTATGTACAAGAATAAAAAGTTTGCTTTAACTAATTGCTTTCCCTTAATTAATTTGTCCAGGATGATTTTGGTCAGTGGTCTTTCTCATGCCATCTTTGATGTTAACATTTGGTCCCTAGCATACTACACTCACCTTTAGACCTAAAGGTCTAAAGGCTCCATCTGTGAGGTTACCACAATTCATCATCATCATTATTATTATTGCGGTATTACAGTGTAGTTTCCCATGCACTCCAGTAAACTCACTTGTGTTTGAAATTTGTTTCCTTCATGACTGAAGCTGAGGGAAGCAGGTCACATGGGTGGCTCAGTACATGTCTGCTGAATGCTTAACATGAACATAGATCATTAACAGTCTTAGCATCCTTGGTAGTTTATTATCAGAACAGGACTTTTACTTTGCTTCAGAGATAAAAGTTATAAGAAACCTTGATCTTGTCTCAGAGTCTGTTTAGTGGGCCCTCTATCGAGTTTTCCAGCCCACAGGCATCCCTGCCTCAAAGAGCCACGCCTCCTTCCAGAGCCTTTTGTAGCGCCAGAATGCTGGACTACAAATCCCACAAGGCAACGCGCGCCAGCCTTAGCAGCCAATAGCGCGCTGTGTTGCTGGCTTGTGTCCCGAGTGACGAGCGTAGGCCGCTGAGCAGCGTCGTCCTGGTTGCTGTGGAGCCGGCTCGCGTGGCCGCACGCCCTGCCCGCCTCCTGTCATGGGCAGCGCCGAGAGCGCCGAGGCCCGAAGGGTGTCTTTCGAGATGGATGAGGAGGAGCGGGTCCGGGTGCTGCAGGGCATCCGGGTGAGAGGCGCGGCGGGAGGGCGCGGGCCGGAGGAGCGTGCGGGCGGGAACGGGAGCCGCGGTCCGGGGACCCGATAGATGGAGGGGGCCGATGGCACTCAGGGGCAGCCGGCTGCCGCAAGTCGTTTTCCACCGCCTTGGCTCTCTCGGTTCCGGACTGTTCCGTGCTCTACAGGTTTCACCTGTCGTGTGCGTCTTGTTGCGTGTGCTGTAGCACGTTTTGAAGGTGTTCGCCCATTTCCAATCTTGTTCACGTGCCTTTCTCCGGGAGGCAGCAAAGGGAGAGTTTTAGCTACAATATTATTAGGTCACATGCTTTATCCGCCCTTCAACTAAAAGCCTACCGTGGGGTCCTTACGACGTCGAAGAGGAGGGATCTCCTCACTTGCTTTTACAAGATGTCCCGGTGCCTACTGACCTCCCCGTCCCTTTCCTGGCCTGTTCCCTCATCTTCATAAAATACTTATTTTGCCTCAGGACCTCCTTGTTCTTCCCAGAAGATCCTAGGTGTTTGATGTTTCTTTCAGTTATCGTTAACCTGGCTGTCTTCATGTTACAGCTCAGGTGTCATCCAAGAATCCTTCCTTGACCACAGTCTGAAGCAGCCTCCCACACCACTGCCACACGTTTATGATTTCCACAGCATCCAGCACAGTTTGAAACAAGTTGTGTTTATTGCGTTTCCCATTAGAGCTCTAGCTGGTAGCTTGGCTGAAGTTCTTGTGTGATTCATGACTTTATCACCAGAACTTACAAGAATAAAAGCTCCTGTATTATTGCAGACTGTCAGCTCTTTACAGGTATTATTTAATTTTCAACAGATCAAAGAGAAGTAGAATTGTTAGTACCTCTTCGTCTGTTTTGTTTTGAGACAGGGTCTTGATATTTAGCTCAGGACGCTGTATCTACCTGTCTCTTGAGTGCTAGGATTAAGAAGGGCATACACCACCAAAAATCTGGTTAGTCCATTTTGTAGTTTATGGGGAACTGCGGTGCTATTGGCATAAGTTGTCCAAGGTCACATAGGTAACAAAGTAGGAGACCCAAGACTATAAAGTAGGTCAACTCCGTAGCTTTTTGTTAAACTTCTTGTTATACTTCCTTCTACACCTGTGCATGACACGTAGCGGGTACTTGGTCAATAAGTAATTACATGAGTGAACTCAATGAGTCAAACTTAAACGAAACACTCGCAGTTGGGCCTAGATGAATAGAGAGGAGGTTCAGAAAAGGACTTCAGAGGGTCTGACATCTAAGCTCCGTAATTGTGTGACCTTACAAGAGTGAGTTGTTTTTTGAGTGTGTGTGAAGTGATGGAGAAGATATGCAGAATGCTTTGTGGGGGGGCCTCAGAATGTGCAGCATGTCAGGTGCTGACCAGCTGGAATTGTTAACCTGGCTTGTGGCAAGAATTAAGTGGGGGAAGATGGCTTCTATTGAAAGGCTGAGAGGGAAGGAGTAGGGTAGATTCTAGGAAGACAGCTTTGGCTCAGGATATTCTTCACGTTTGTTGCTGGGTCTCCTGTTTCAGGGAGATGGGAAGCACCATTGGAGGTGGCTCAGACTTTTTATTTCTAGTCTCTTAATAATTCTGTAAAGTACAAAGTCTTTAAATTTTTTTCTCTCCTTTAAAAAAATGTGTTTTTTTTGTGTGTATGTGCACATGCTTGACTGTATGTGTACCACATGCATGCAGGTGCTCAGAGGGTGAAAAAAAAGATGCCAAATCCCTTGAAACTGGAGGTACAGATTATTGTGAGCTGCTGGCTCTGGGTGCGGGGTACCAAACTCTTGAATAGCGATAATCACTTTAAAGCACTGAGCAATTCTTCCACACCCTAGTACAAACCATTTAAAGGTGGGAAGTCAAGCTGGAAGATGGTATGGACTTCCTGAGGCGCCATGTGGGAAGTGCTTGGAACTAATCTAAATCTATCCGACTTCCCTCCAGCCTGAGGACATGTGTCTTGGTAGTCTGAAATTTTGACATTGCTTCTACTTAGCCTGACAGGGATGCTAAGACTCCGCTTAGTTTTACAAGGCAGTTAAACTGGAGGGAACTTCAGTAGTAGAAAACTTTTTCTAGTTAATTTGAGAGAATAATGGCTTGTCAGAGGTAGTCAGTGAGGTGGTTGGTCCAGTGTTGGGAAAGCATGGCTAGTGTGCCTGGTTTTAAAGAGGAAGATGGAAGGAAGAACATTATGGTAAATATTTTGGTGATGAGAGGTCTGTTATGAGTAGTTACTTGAGTATTTAAGAGTTCCTCTGGTCTTCAGACAGATGAGTAAAAATCAGTATAAATAAATAAATAAATAAATAAATAAATAATTTTAAAAATCAGATCAATAAAGTAGTTTACCTACTGAACACATGAGAAGTCAGTGAGAGGTAGATTCCAAGAGAATATCTGCCCTAGTTCCTTCAGAGAAAATTAAATATTCTTAAAGACCACTTGTATTTAATCCCTGGGGCCTGATCCCAGTGCTCTGGATTCCTTAAAATTAAGTGTTAGGGCCTTGCTCATTTGTGTGTGAATTTGCATAAATTTACATAGCGAGTTCAAGCCCTAATTCTGTGGAAGGTAAAAGAAATTTAATTGATGCAAAATGCTGCAATTATATTCAACTCCTGATTTCAGAGCAAGCTTGCACAAAATACATAAAGATTGTCTCAGCCAGTACATTGAACCTTGTGGTCTTCTAAGAGCAGGCAACAATATCTTATAAATGTCTATTTTCTTCTTTTCTACCCTGTATAAGCAGCCATCTTTGTCATTCAGCTGAACTTGATTGATTGCTGAAATCCATACTTCTCATAGTTCCCAAACCACGCCCCCTTTTCATCGATCCACCTCTTATTTTGCCACTTGCTTTGGGAACCTTCCTATGGACCCAGATGCCTAAGCTCATCCTAGGCTGATTCTATCCTTCTGGCTAGATCAACTTTATCATTACTCATTGCTCCTGTGAGGCAGGTTCTGGACCACTCAGGAAGGGAAATACGATGAAAGATTAGTCAGATACACAGGAGACAGTCAATATTCAGATGCCAGGAGGCTACTTGATAGTGCACTACCTGAGCTCCTCAGAAGCACTGCCAAAGTGGTATTTACCCAACACTGGTCTGGTCTTAACAGAGATGGGAAACAAAGCCAGGCTCTCTGCCATCTTGGAGACTGGAAAGAAAACAAAAAGGCAAATAACAACAACAACAAAACCCAAAAAACAAACAAACAAAAAACCCAAAAACCCCACAGGTTCTGAGGAGGAATTAAAAACATGCAAAAGCAGTAGGACTAATACTTGTTTGAGGTGAGTTGGTGAGAAAATGCTTCTCTGATGAGGTGACATTGTTGGTATGTATGACCTGAGCTATCCCTAGGAAGAATACATATGTGTACTGTGCTAAGTACTGTGCCAAGGAAAATTAAGGACATTTCTTCAGGTTCTGTGCCTGCTGACCTTGTGCAATGTCATTGTCCTCATTCATTTTAGAGGTCAGATGTCACATAGTTAATTAGTGGAAGATTTGGCTCAAGCTCTGACTCTGAACCAACATTAAGATGATTGGCCTCCACGAGGGGTAAGGATACTTGAGAAGGCTTGCCATGTAGCAGGATCAGCCTGGGCAAGACTGTGAACACGTTAGCCTGGAGGCCACATGGAAGATCCTTAGGCAGTCTTCAAAGATTGAGTGTTCATTTTAAATATAAATTTACCACTTCAATTTTTTTTTTTTTAGTAAATGTACAGAATTGAGCAACTGTCACCTAATCTACTTATAGAACATTTACAAGATGTGAAAGCTATCTTGTTCCTAAGACACTTCCTATTGCCTTTCCCCAAACCTGGGTAACCATATTCCTCTTTCCTCTATAAAATTGCCTTTCTTAGAGAATTCGTATAGGTAGGTTTGTATACCTTGCAAGCCTAGCTTCTTTTGCTTAGTGTAATTCTTTGTGCAGTGCGGAGGTAGAACCTAGCATCTTCTGCATTCTAGGCAAGTGCCCCACTACTAAGCCACACCTAGCATCCTAAACTTCGTTTTTTTCCTTTTCATTTTTTATTTTATGTGTATGACTATTTTGCCTGAATGTACATCTGTGTGCTTCATATGCACAGTGCCAACAAAGGCCAGAAAAGGGTGTCAGATCCAGTGGGATGTACAGTTGTAAGCTACCAACGTGGGAGTTGGGAATTAAACCCAGGTCCTCAGAAAGAACAGTCCTCTTAACTAAAGAGTCAAACTGTTAAACTGTTTTGGCATTGCTCTGTTGGTAGGAGTGTTTGCCTGTCATATGAGAGTTTTAGTTGCTGAATATACTGTGTTGAGTGGATAAATAGTGCATTTGTTTATCCAGTCACCAGTTGGTGGACATTTGTATTGTTTCCATCCTAAGCTATAATGAATAAAGCTTCTGCAGACATTTCTTTTCTTTCCTTTCCATTCCATTCGTTTCCCTTTCCCTTTCCCCTTTTCTCCTTTCCCTTTCCCTTTTTCCCTTTCCCCCTTTCTCCTTTCCCTTTCCCCCTTTCCCTTTCCCTTTCCCCCTTTCCCTTTCCCTTTTTCCTTTCCCTTTCCCTTTTTCCCTTTCCCTTTTTCCCTTTCCCCCTTTCCCTTTTCCTCTTCCCCCTTTCCCTTTTCCTTTTTCCCTTTCCCTTTCCCCCTTTCCCTTTTCCTTTTTCCCTTTCCCC